TGTTGTATAGAGAAAATCTCTTAATAATTATAAAAAACCTCATGTATGTCAGTATTACCGCCACTGTCAGTATTAGCTACACTTACCTTACATACATATATTAAAAAACATAGGACTTGGGGCCATATTATTTTTAAAGGATATGAAAAGTAGGGTTTTGCAGTTAGTATTTTTATTAAAAGTTAAAATGTAATTTTATTTTTTCAATAATGGGACAACGATTTACAATAAAATTTTTTATATTTACTTAAACATATTTAAGTATATTATGATTTTAATTATTTTATTAGAAAATTAAATATAATATATACATACATTTTTCTTTGCCTCTCTGTCTTAATTTTATATATACATATATATATATATACATAATTATTATTAATTTACTTAAGCACTTTCAATTGGTTGAATAAGTAATTATAAAAATAAATTTTGTTTTGAAAATTGATGAATTTTTAAAGATAAAATAATTTAATTTCCATTTAAAAAATTAGGTTATTGGTGCCGGAAAAATAATTAGCAGAAGCGGTCTACGTAAAGTCGAGAGCGTTTCCAATTAAGTTACTTAAGAAGCCAACTTGTAAGCGATGTCTTAATCAATCAAAATCGCAATTATAAAAATAATTTTATAAAATAATTATAGAAATCAGTATATTTTTACAATGATGAAGTCAAATAGAATGAGATGCGTCTAAATTAGATCAAAAAATTACAATGTTGCTAAAATGCATTTTATAAATGAATTCTTTATTAAAATATACAAATAAGTAAAACTTGAAATTTAAATAAAAAAATTTTCATTACTTAATATTTTTCTGCTTCATGAAAGTACCAAAAGAGCCATTTAAAAATACTACACAATTCAGAAGTAGTTTTTTTTGTGCAAAATTTTTCCGATAAAAAATTATGGAAAAGTATTTTTTCTCAAATATGTAAGTATTGTGTATTTTTCCTTATTATAGTACAGAATTAAGTACAAAGTGCTGAACAAAAAAAAAATATTTTCAAACACAATTCAAAAATAACGCAAGTAGACCTTGCCAGTTGTTTCGAAAAGAATTTTTTCCAATCTTTCAAGATTATTTCTCTTTAATTTTTCTACTCGGGCAGTAAAATCCAATGAAAAATTAAAATTATTGTATTTTAAGAAATTTTGAACTTAAATACGAATAATTGAGTCCAATTGCATTTAAATTAATGTGAAATAATACATACATGTTTCCATATTACCTACATACATATATATATATATATAAAAACCTATAGCAAAAATTTCTCTTGAATGAGTAAATTTTGATCAAATTTAATTTATTAAATTTGCTTTTCGTTTCAAAAAATCTTAAATTTATGTATGTAGATAGTTAAATATTTTAAGTCATATTTTCAAATTTTGAAAGTTTTCAAAAGAAAATTTTATTTTATTCCCTTCATAACTAAATATTGCTTTCAAATAATGAGAAAATGAAGTACTTAATCCTTTTCAATTTATTATCAACAATTTAATATTTTCAATTTTAATTAAATCTTCTCGTAAAATTAGGTTAAGTAAGTATACATGCTACTTACTGAAATAATTTTAAATTTGAAATAGAAACATTCATATATACGTATGTACATAAATTGTGTTATAAAAAAAAAGTTGTAAATATTAGATGAAGAAATAAAAAAATTCTTACGCTATTAAGTGTATAACATTAAACATAAACTAGATGAAATTTCATTAAATTAAAATTTCCTTTAATATTCAAATGTAACTAAAAAATATTTTAGGTGTCGTTTACATAAGTATGTACGAGTATGTACGACAAAATTTAAGATTAAATCTACGACAAAATCTGTAACTCTTTTTATATAATATTGAAATTATATGAGCTCAGACTTTTAATAATAATTCAAAAATTTAATATTTTTTTTTGTATTTAAGTATATGAAATTAATTAACCCAAAATAAAAATTAGTTTATTTTGCTAAAGCTACCAAAAATGTAATAATTCCCATTTTACTTTTTATTCAATCATCTGACAGTTAATCTGATGAGAATAGAATAATTTCTATTGATTGCCATCGTAATTTCATCAGTCTCAAATTAAATCTTAGATTTTGTAGTAGATGTACACGTTACCTTAAATTTTACTATTTACGTTCTTAGTTTGACTTTAAGTTTCATTCAGATTTTTCCTTCTATTTTCCAAACATAAAGATTCAAATTCAAAAGGATACAAAATAAGTAAGTATATTATGAAAAAATATTTCGGAACAGTTTTAAATATACAAGTATATGTACAAGTATATAACAATAACATTGAGGTATTTTTTTTTACTTTTAATTTCAAAAAGGATAAAAATTACATACTCGTACATACTTATAGGGTATATGTTACGAGTATGTTTACTTGTATTTTATTAACGTTACTCATATAAAGATATTATGTATTTTTACATAAAATAAATGTTTTCATTTTTGTATATACTTACTTACTTATATAAAAAAGCACAATTTCATTGCTAATAGCAGTACATATATATACATACCTATTAATAACTTTCACTATGTACTTCAGTTCATACGAATGTATGTACGTGCAAATATAATTGTATAATAAAAAAATATCCTTTTAAAAAGGAGATTGTTTGGATTACAGAAATAATATAAAAAGATAAAAAAAAATTATAAAAAATAAAACAGAAAAAAAGTATACTCATATGTCATTTCGTACTTTTTATAAATTTTCTCTTTGGAATTTTTTAAAGTTAGAATTTATTATCTTTTATTTTAGTTTATGAGTTTTTTTTTGTCTTTTGTGAATTAAAATAATAAAATTGGATGTCATAACATAATTTTTTTTTTTTGACAGAGAGAAAGAGGAAACTTTAGAGACAATAAAAAAGTATACAAACGTACCTAATTCAGAAACACATATATATATATAGTACGAGTACTTATATAAGTGAGAGTATTTGCTTTTTAAATTTCTCCTTCATACTACTCTTTCAACTTTTATATTAAAAAAGATTTACTTACTTATGAGTATTTCAAAAAAAAAAACTTGTATTAAATACTAACAGCCTTACAAAACCATCTATTTAATAACATAGTTAGTAATTTAAATTTCATACATATATATCTACTTATACATACTTTGTTAGGTACATTTGTACTTTATACTTAGTTGTATTTAAAAAAATAAGTTAAGAAAAAATATTTTATTAACTGAAAATTTATTACAATAATGTCAAGTTCATAAGTAATTATAAATTGAATATGGGCAGGTATTTGTTCTGTATATGTAATAATAGTTACTAAGTATTATGTAATATTAAATTTGTAAACGATGAATGAATGTTAAATGCAGAATAAATTAATAAAAAAATTTCTCATACTTCAGTATTGAAATATATGTTTATTATATATGTATTTAAGTATAGTAGGTAAGTAAATACATTTGTATAAAGGAAATAGAAAAGAAATTTAATAATTAATATTTATGCAATAACATAAAAAATTTGAAATCAAGCTTTAATCCAAAAAGACACTCAAGTGGCCTTTAATTAATTTAAAATCTGTTTGTTGTAAATATATTTTCATAATTAAGATATATTATCAATATGTCGACGGTTATAGTAAAGAAATAAAATTCCTTAATAATTAAAATCAAACATTAAACGCTGCCATTGCATTTTAAAATGCACCATATTTGATATATGTGTATGGATAGTTAGTTATTTTCCTACCCACCCAACAAAATAAAATAAACATAATTGATAAATAAGAAAATTATTTAGGCGAATACATAAGTATGTACTTATTATTTAAAAAAAATTTAAGCTTAACAAATAAATTAATTATCCTTAAAATCGGAAGGTAATATTCTATATACTTATTCACATTTATACACATAGTTATCCACTTATTTATAACGTGAAAGAATATTTCGATTATTCAACATTAAACCTTTTTTTTTAATAAAACTAAAATATCTCATTCTTAAGTTCATTTACCATACTAAGCTTATTTACTTGTACTAATTTTTTTAAAAATATAAAAATATGCCGACAATTATATATTTGTACTTATATGTTAGACCGGATCTTGTATATAAGTATTGTAACAAATATAACTGGCTATTATTGTCAAAATTTGCTGTGATTCCTCTGTAATACACTCAAAATGCAGAAATCTACCCTACCTCAATATAAATATATCAAATAGGTTTCACTTAAACGCATCATAAAATTTAAATATACTTAAAAGTTAAAATATTATTATAATTGCATTGAAATTTTTTAAATTAAAACCAGTTAATAAATTAAAATTAGGTACGTACCTACATATATATATATGGGTTAGGTAAGTTACACGGTTATAATCTGAGTTCATGTAAACATAAAATTAGGTTTTCTTCATATAGATAGTTGGTATAGGTAAGGTATCATCATAAGGTATGGCATTAAATATCATCATAAAAAAAAAAAAAGGCCTTGGTCAAAAGTAACACCTTCACTTGAATTATATAAGGTGTAAAATATTATTACTTATATAAAATATTTAATATTTGGCAATATTTAAAAAAAAAGTTGTATGCATATTTTTCTTTTTATAATTTCCGCTTAATAACAAAAAATTCAATTGATTATTTTGATAATTTAAAAAACAATATTAAATTTTGCATTTAAATAATAAAATTTAACATTAACTCTTATATTAATATTGTTGATAAAATACAAATACTTAAGTGTTTGTATAACTTATTTTATTTTAATACTATTATACGAGTAGTTATAAGAACTACTTAATTTTGAGCTGATTTTTTTATATACATACATAGGTTTGTGTATATTTTAATCTTTGACGTCAAATCTCTTTTGTATTTAAATAAACAATATTTTATAAGTAGTTACGTGGATAATTTCTATTATATACCTTTATATTATTTTTAATATATAAAAAGAAAAGAAAAAATAAAAACGTAAAAAAGGTAGTAAAGGTAATGAATACTTACGTCTTCAAAAACACTCCCAACATTAGCAGTTATCAAGAGAACTGGTATTGAACTGACTTCCATGATGATGATGCCCTATTTATCAGATAATATCTTGCTTTTAGTTTTTTCTTTCGTTTTTTTTTTTTAAATCGTTTTCTTTATTTCTTTTTCCTTTTATAAAAATAAATTTAATTAAATATTAAATTCTCTTTTTTTTTAAACAACAAGTATAAATCATACATACAAACACTGCTATAGTAATAAGTGATAATTTAATACAAACAGATCAAAAATATGCAATATTTTACCATTAACACAAAATCAAATTTATTTCTTTTACATGTAGTCTCAAATAAATTAAATATTGTATGTAGTAAATCATTTAAATGATAGTGCTACAATCATAAAAGATATCATATATTTTATTTATTTTTTATTAAAATTGATTCACTTAATAAAAAAAACACTTCCATTTTTTTATAAAAATTATTCAAAATAAGACAAAGCAATACAAATATAATTGAAAATATGTGTATTTTTAAATCCAATATTGCGCTACTTAAAAATGATATAAGGTATATTTTAATTCTCTTAGCCCGATACTTCAAAATTAATTTAGAAAAACATCCGCACCAAAAATTTTTCAACTATTGCACTCGGGAAAATAAGAAAAACTTGAATTTAGAATAGGAAAAACTGAACAGAAAAGGGAAGTTTTCTTAAATTGTATCTGAATGTCAATTTTGACTCTGTCAAAACATAATTAAAAATTGAATGTTTAGTTGAAATTGAAATAACAATATAAATTGAATGTCATATAACATTGACGTCCAATTAAGGTAACTTTACACGAACAATTTTATTAATTTATTCACAATTTTATTTAGAATTAACAAAATTCTGTTCTGTCATTTAACATCTTAAAATTATATTGTTAAATATAAATTTTATTACCCTTAAAAGTTCTTTTCATTATCAAAATACATACTGACAAAATACAACAATTTTAATGTTAAAATTAGAAAGCATAAGTTCTTTTTAACACTTACGCCTTTTAAACTTATTTGAAACGTCAAATTAATGGCTTGATCATCTATCCCGCTATTTCAATAGGAAAATGAGAAGAAAGTGAGGAACTCTCATATACTTATATAATGTAATTTTTGAGTGACAAGAAAAATTTGGTATTGCGTATCTCGTTTTTTTCTAAAATGTATACAAATTTTATTCACTTAGTTTTTGAAAGTGAGATTTTTAGTCGATAACTTGAAGAAAAAATGATCCAATAAAAAAAAAAGAGTAATCTTATTGGAGAAGTGAAACATCCATTATAAAATACTAAGAATTCTGATTTGAAAGAAAATAAAAAGTGATTAAAACAAGCAAGATATGCTGCAAATCATTGTTTAGTAATTTTTTATATTTTTATTTTAATATAAATGCATATTGCAAGCAAACCAACCCAAATTTTGGTTTAATTTTGTTAATAATAGAGATAACGCAAAACTAGAACAAAAAATTTGAAAACCATTATCTTTACAATATTATCTGAATAAAAATCAGCATTATTTATTAAATATATGCGCCAAATAAATTATCATATAACCCGATCTATAGATTATGCTGAAACTTTAATACATAAAATTTCAAAAAATGGAATTGTAATATTATTATTGTCATTAGAAGTTATTTAGTATTTTATTAATAAAATTTTGTTGTATTCGGCCCTAAAATTTGTAATCAATTAAGCAATCAGTTGAAGACATCAATTTGTATTAATAAGTTTTCTCGAATTTATAATAATCATAATTACTTTGTTCAACCCTTAACAATTCACAATGGCGTTTTAGTTATGCAGAATTTTTTATTGCAAATATATTGTGATTTGTGCATACAGAGTGCAGACTACCAGTTGATTGAATTTTTGTTTTCTTTATCAAATTGTCATATTCTTGTTTATGCCGTTGAGAACTTTGCTTTTGTTGTGGCTTTGGTGCTCTTTAAACTTAGTATTTTTTTTTTTTTAATTCAAACATTCCGAAATTTTAGTTAAAATTAATTAAATTTATATTAAAAAAAATAATCAATTTGTATTTTAATTTGAAAAAAAACGTAATGGATAAACCAACTGTATTGATATTTGGAGGTAAGTGCATAACAATGAAATGACGTACCGGGTGAGTCATGTTTAAAAGATAATTCACTGATTGCCTGTTAGATAAAAGAAAGTGCATAAATTTCAATTTTATTTCGAATTTTTTTTATTTTTAAATTAATATTCTTTGCTTTTTTATGCAGGTTGTGGTTTTATTGGTCGAAATCTTGTACATTATTTAGTAACGAATAATTTATGCTCAGAAATTCGAATTGTAGATAAGGTAATCGATCAAATACATGTCTGTAAATATATATGTACATATTATGTACATACACAATAAACTTTAAAATTTAAATTTAAATTTATTTAAGACACCCCCGCAAATGGCTTATTTAAATAAGGAACATAGTGAAGCTTTCGATAATCCAATTGTTGAATTTTGTAGTGCAAATCTAATTAACGAAGGTAATTTGCATAATACGTTATACATATATATGTACACATAGATGTAATGTAACATTATAAAGATCGTTGTTTTTTGTTATGTAGTTTCATGCAAAACTAGCTTTGTGCCTTCAAAAATAAAAAATCGTTCCTGGGACATTGTTATAAATGCCGGTAAATTTCAATATAATATTAAACGGGTTTCATTATATTATTACAACTAATTTTAGCTTCTGAAAACCGTCCAAATCAAAGTGATGCCGTCTATAAAGAAGGAATTTTTAAATTAAGTATGAACTGTGCCAACGAAGCCGCAACTCAAAATGTTAAACGGTACATCGAATTAGGATCAGGCTGTATTAATTCAAGTGATAAAAATCCATTGAAGGAGGATTGCAAGTTGGATCCCTGGACATGTTTGGCTAAATATAAGTTAAAAGTGGAAAAAGAGCTGAAACTTATTGAAAATTTGAATTATACTATTTTTCGTTTACCAATTGTTTATGGATTTGGTGATAAAAGATATTTAAGTAAGAAAGAGTAATTAAATAAAGAATAAAAAAAGTGTGGGGCTATTACTTTTCTTAGTTGTACATTTAAACTTTGATAGATAACTTGCTTACATTATGAAGAAAATAAGTAAAAGAAATATTTTATTGAAATATTATCTATTTTTTCAGTGCCGCGAGTAATAATTGCCGCTTTGTACAAATATTTAAACGAAACAATGAAACTTTTATGGAATGAATCTTTAAAACTAAACACTGTTCATATAAATGATGTTGTATGTGCTATATGGGAATTAGCCCAAAATGAAAAGGCAGTGGGAGAAGTATTTAATATTGTCGATGATTCAAACACGACTCAAGGATCTCTCAGCTCAATTCTTACTGATATTTTTGATATTAATATAGATTATTGGGGCGTTGTAATGTCAAATTTAACAAAGGTAATTATTCAAAAAGATACATGTAGGTAATATGCATTAAAAAACAACACTATTCTAGCTTAATATGTCAGAGGCGGTAAGTGATATAAATGATAAACATATGGGTCCGTGGGCTGAATTACTTCAAAAGGATGGAATTGAAAATACTCCATTGACACCTTATATGGATGAAGAGTTGTTATATCACAAGCATTTGAATTTAGATAATTCAAAACTGAAAAAATTTGGTTACGAATTACGTCATCCAAATATAACATCAGAAAAAGTAAAAGAAGTTGTAGAGGATTACGTGAAACAAAATTTATTCCCTCGATCTCTTATAAATTAAAAAAATGAGAAAATTTATATTTTCCTATTTTTCAATAGTAATCAAAATCATGAGCGAATGCCATTAAGAGTAAAAAAGAATCTATGCCATTAATATTAATCAAATTATTCGAATTACGTGAATTAGTTATTGAACGTACATCCACATTGTTTCATGTTGAAAAAGTTAAATACATTAAGTACACCTTTGTGTCATTTGAAATTAAAAGAAATAATTTACAAGTAGATCATGAATATTAAAATGAAAACAAATTCCATACGTTGAAGAAGAAAATTTTAAGAGCTTCCTAACTCTAATGCGGAATATGATAAGTTTTATTTTTTAACAATAATATACATATACATACATAACTGTATTTTAAAACTTCAAGGAGTTTTCAATGCGAATAAACTTTAATTTTTTACTTTTTTAATAATAAAAACAAAATTAAAAAGACATGTGCCTCAATTTACTAGTATAAACAAAAATCTAGAATATAATATTAAGTATATAAAATATTTTTAAAAACATTTTTATAATAAAAGTTAAAATGGTAAACAAATTTTTTGATTTTTTATTCATTTTTGCAGTTAAAAATAACTGAAGAGGGAATTTATGTTTTACAAGATTAATAGAATTATTTATTAGACTTCAAATGGATTTCCATAAAGAATTTAACCGAACAATGTATTTAGAAGTCAGCATATGGATTTCAATTAATACTAAATTATAATTCAAATGCTTATAATTATTGTAATTTCTACTACGAATTTTCAGACTTTGCATTTTTTTACTTCTAAAATAGAACTGCATGATTCGAAAAAAGTAACAACCAGGATTTTCAATTTAGACTTGAAAATTAGATTTCCTTTAAATCTATTAAATTTTACTAAAATTTATAAGAGCCTATATTGTGCGAGCAGTATACAATGTGTGCAATTAAATCTTGACAGTACGCATCATCATAGTTAAAAGACCATAAATTATTTTTTAATAAAATTTTGCTTTATTGGGGATCATTTTGAACGATATGGTATAAAACATAGAATTTTTGGAATAAAATTATGCATTTTTGTATATTATATATATACATATACATATTTCATAGTAATATATATGTATATACATATTTATATATATATGTTTATCCTTTTGTTATCCTATACTAAATCGTGAAATATTATTAAATTCATTCAACAATTATTTTGGCAAAAATTAACTTAAAATTTTCTAATAAGTTTCGTAGAAAAAAATAAATTGCAATAACTTTGGAAGCTAAACATACATACGTATATTTTTTATCACTATGAAATTAGTAATAAAAACTAAAAAAGGATAACTTTAACAAAACACAATTGAATGAACGTTTAATTCAGCTACTTAAATAGAATTTTATTTTTAAGCATTATTACTGCTTATTACAAAATTTTACAAAGCAACTGTTTGCTACAAATTTTGACTGAGCAAAGTTTTATCTATCAAATTAGTGTAAAACTATATTTTAATAATTTATTTCAGTTGAGAATAAGTTATGTAATTTCATAACCTTAGTGAAAAATTATTTAGTTATTAACTTAAGCGAAAATAAATTGTGTAGCTCTATTCTACAATCTCTTAATGAGGAAATATATTACTTAGTCAATAAAATTAACTTATATAATTTTTCTTTGTTTAAGTATATTTAAACAAATTATATTTTTATTTTATAAGGTACTTAAAACTAGATTCTAAAACATTTGCTTCTATTTTAATTTTTTTTAGATAATCATCTATTACATTTTTTTTTAATTTTATGTAATCTAATTAAAAAAAAAATATTACTCAGAAACGAATTTCTTAATCAAAATTATATTTAATGAATATGATGTCAAAAATATATATATTTATGTATATATGTATGTATTTATATGAACTGAAATAATCTAGAAAAAAAATTCAACTTTTTTTTTTACATTATGTGACATCTTCCTCGTCTATTCGAATTGACAACCTCTTCATTATTACCCTCATTTAAACCTGACATTACTTCATCACCAATTTCTACTTTATTCAAATGTTCAACACTTTTTTCCTTTTCAATAGATTCATTACTTTCCTCTTCGTCATCTAAATCTATTGTCGCGTCTTCATTATCGTTATCATTTTCATTTTTTGAATCTTCCTCTTCCAATATAATTTTCTTTTCTTCTGAAATAATTTCTGAAACATTTTCTACACCATCCTCATCCACTTCAGCATCTTCAAGATCTTCTGTTTTATTATTTGGTGTACTTGAATCAACTTTCCCTCTATATATACGATTTTTGAGCATTGTAACGGGGCTTGTAACTATTCCAATTAAACCACTCAAATCTAATCTTGGACGTTTTGGGCTAGCTGTATTCGTGTTAACAGCATCATCTTGAATTTCATCTGTTGTTGAAACTGTTGGTGGCGGTGTATGGGTGCGTTTTTTTCCCCGACCAAACGAAAAAAATGATGATATAAAAGATTCGCTCTGTGGCGCGCTCTCAGAACCAACCGTAACATTCATACTTGTATTGTTTGTACAATCAAATTCAGTATTAATACGTCGGTATGATTCACGATAATTGCTGTTATACTGAAATGTGTATTCTTTAAGTGGTCGCAAGCTTCTTCTACCAGAAATTTGCCTTAACGAAGTTGGAGGTAAAGAATAAAAAGTACTTCCATCAGGAGTTGATGTTACTGGAACATCCACTGCTGGTAATTTTTCGGGGGATTTCAGTGGAGTTTCTTTTCTTGCACTTCGCCTTGCTAAAAATATTAAATTAATCTTTAAATTCCTAAGATAATGAAAAAAAAAAATAATTTACGTATTAATGATGGTTGTTTTTCTTTAATTTCGTCATTTGTAGCTTTACGGGCTGATGATCTTAGTGAAGGAGAATGAGCAGATGTTTTGGCAGCTGTTGGAATTGTTGTTGCCGACTCTGATACATCAACATCTAATAAAAGAGATTCCATTTCAACATCATTCCCTAAAGATTCTCCGAAACCATGTAGATCTGCTTGTTGTTTCAAAGAATCCGTAGTAACGTTTAATGTTACAGTTTCTTGTTTAGCAACTTGTTGGGCTAATGTAGTTGCTCGAGACGATCTTTTTGGAAGAACAATTTCTTCAACAGGTGTTTTTTTTAAATCACTTTGATCCTTCTTTTCCTTCTTTTCAATTGGAGTAGCACGTCCTTTCTCCTTGTCAGTTGTTTTAGTCTTTTCAGTTTCTTTATTATTTTCCTTGGCATCAGTTTTCAGTCCATCTTTATTACGTGGGCTATCACGCGGTATTTTTTTGTCAGCCTTCTTTGGATTTTCATCCTTTTGTGAATTAGTTTTTTCATCCTTGTTGCTTTGCTTTTCATCCTTGTTATTTTGCTTTTCGTCTTTATTATTTTGCTTTTCATCGTCATGTCCATTTTCTTGTGAATTAATTGAGTCTTTTTTTGAAGTCTTTTCTTTCTTGTTCTCTGTAGAATTGTTTGTTGTTTCTTTGGCACTTGAAATTTTTGCTGGCGAATCAGTTTTTTCTAAATTTGGGGATTTGTCATCAGATTTACGATTTCGTAAATCAATTGTAGTTGAATCAGGTGGATTAGATTCAGCATTTAATTTTTGATTTGATTTCTGACCACTTGCAGGACCCAATGATAATGGTGTACGACGACCACCAGTTGTTTGACTTGCTAACTTTGAGCTCATCCTAAAAAAATAAGAGAAAAATTTTTATAATAAATCAAAAATATTATTGGAGATTACAAATACAAATAGTTATTAATATTTTTTGCTACTTATTGAAAATACGAATCTATTATGCTATTTGAAATTATACTTCATTAAAATATTTGTAATTTTATTCAATCTCCAATTTATTACAATTCATTTGTAACGTTTTCAGGCAAGTGTAAATATTTTGGCGCCAAAGCAAAGTAGAGCGCAAAGAAATGTTGTGTAAATGTGAAAAAAATATATCAAATACGAATTATTTACAAGACAACGTATTAAGTTTCACGTAAGAAATCGTAGACTAATACCTATTCTTTACTCATAGTAAAATATTTGAAATAAAAGAAAAAACACTTATGTTTCAGCTTCTACTTCGTTTTTCGTATCAAAGTTTAAATCTAGGTTTATTTGCTCTTATTAAAATTAAATTCTGAATAATGCAACATTACATAATTTTTATTTATCTCAAACCTAAGATTCTCGAATCGTGCAAAGACCATATTGTAAAATCTATAAAGTGTAAATTTTAAAAGTGATATAAAAAGATAATAACATGCATAAATGTAATAAAAGAAAGGAAAATATAGAAGACGATTTTTGTAATTTACAGTCCAAATGTTGTTTGTGCTGTAGGCTGCCATCCTATACGTCTCAAATAAATTTTTTTGGTTTTTATATTTGTTCACTGTTCTTTAAGCAAATTTTGTTGTTTTCTTGATTTCAAATTATTATTTATGTTTGTATACATACAATATATTAAATCGCTAAAATAATTTCAAGAATAAATATGAAAAAAAAAAAAATTTCTGAACATTCAAAATTTTTCATTGCATCCTAAAAATTATTTTTATTTATGTTATATGGCTATAAAAAGCTGAAGCCCTTTAAAATTAAATATTTTCAAATACTTTAATAATTTTTTTTTGTATTGGTAGATGCGAAAAAATTTTTTGAAAACAAGGAAATGTTGATGTGTCGTCACACTGTTCAACTATTAAACGAAAATAAACTAAAAAATTAAAAACAAAAAAGATGTGAAGTGAAACGAGGGGATTTTGTTGATTTCTTTTGTTTTTTTGTTTATATTGTTAGGGGCCACAATAATTTTCTTAGCATACGAAAATTAATTTATTTTTTTTTAAATTGTTTTTGTTCTACTTTCTTTTAAAAAATTATTTAACTAAATAAAGTGCAATTTTTTCAGTTTCTATCGTTTGTTATTCATCATCATAACACTAACAATAAAATCTTAAAACCGCTCCTATAAGTTCTTAATAATATTAAAAGGCAAAAATCTATTATACAAGAAATTTTTCGTTTTTCATACCCAATAGTTTTTAATAAAATTTGGTTTTCTTTATTGCAACACAAAAACGACTCCTCAAACGGAAAACCAATTTATTGAATTTGATCTTTCCACCTTCTACAACTTTTCTAGGTCAAATTCTTACAAATTAAGGAAACTTCCGCAGATTCTTATCTGCTTCTTATGTCCTTATATCATTTTAAAATACTTTTGATCTGAAGCTGGTTTACTTTTTGCTAATCCTAATAAAACTAATTTATTATTCGTACAAGTATCTTATGTTCGTCTATGGCTACTTTGCAAATAAGCGTGAACATGAATACATTTATGAATTTCCAATACTTTTTCTTTAATTTTCTTCTGTTATTCATTTTGAATATTTGTATGCCTTTGTATGACTAAATAATATTACACACGTTTAGCTGTTTCATAGATAGGCTATGAGGTAAAGGGCAATGCTTTAGACACAGGATTTTTAAAATTTGTCAAAAAGTTCCTGCACGCATATAATTTTTTTACTCCTTCATTGTGATTAAATATGTAGTGTAGAAATATTTTTGAGTATATTTTATTAATTAACCACATTCCTTTACACACGTTTGCCATTGCGCTTCAATCGACTGTTTGATTTTCTGGTATGTTCAATTTTTCACATCATACATATAAAAAAAAATCCGAATTTTTATTCAAAATGTTAGAAGTTTTCAGAAATATGAAATTGACGAATATTTTCTGGCTAATACTTATTATTGTAGCAAGCTTTTATTCTCTAACGTAAATTCTGATTAGGTATTTGGTCTTTTTAAATTTCTCAAATTGATTTTACATTGAACAAACATTGTGAAATTTTATCAGCATTATTAAGACTAATTTGAAAAGCATACTTGAATTTAATACCAAAAACTATTAGCGATTTGAAGAATGGATGACCCGATTCCGACATTTAAGAAAATTTGTAATTAATATACCATCCATATAACAAGAGAGTATTAAAATTATGTGTACATGATGAAATTTGTAATTGTTATCAATATTTGCTGAATAATTTTTCTAATTTTCAATATTATTTTTTTTTTACCGAAATTTTGTTATACAAACACTTGAAACTTGATGACAGCAATTTTAAATATTTTTAAAATTCTTTATTTTATTTATTTAAATAATTGAAATCAGAGTAAATTTTTTTCCATTATGGTTTTTTTTTTTTGAAACAGATGAAGGTAGTTTTCGTTTTGTTTACAAAAACAAATATGTTACTATTACTTTAGTAATAATAAGATAAAAATGTGGAAATGAATAAAGAAATAAGAAATTTATGAATAATGCAAAAAAATATAATAAATTTTTTAAGCCTGTCTTTTTTGTGTCACTAAAGTAAATCAATCATTTGAAAGCAAAATTTTTATGTAAAATAATATTAAATATCTTGTTAGTCAATACAACAAAATGTGAATTGCATATTTATTATAGTTTTCTCTTCTCACTTGCACTTGTAATTCATTCGTTTGGTGCTATAATTCTGTGTAACATGATTCTATTTTAAAGTTTTTAGCACTTTTCCAAAAAATTTTTTGAAAAAAGTGCTTATTAGTTTCACTCTGTCAGTCCGTCCGTCCGTCCGTCCGTCCGTCCGTCCGTCCGTCTGTCCGTGTGTCTGTTTACAAAACTTCTACACCCTTAAAGATAGAAAGCTGAAATTTTATATATACATAGATCTTTACTAGAAACTTATTTTCGTAGAACAAAATTTTTACCTATCTCCCCCCCTCTAGAAGTTATACCCCCCCAAAACCCTAAAAATGGCCTTTTTTAAATATTTGTTGCAATGAAACCATAAGCATTTTTGAAATTTTGCAAACGCAGAAAGGCAGCGGCTTGCTTCCCCTAGCGCGGTATACTATAGTTAAACTTTAGAAAAACAAAGTGGCCGTTGAAATTTACCGTTATCTAAAGTCCTTTTTTTCCAAATTTTTGATGTCGTTTTTCTTCTAGATCCTATATTCTAGAACTTTGAAATTTTAGGGGCTTTTAGACAATAACAAATAGTTCATTTCGTTAGAAGAAATTTTTTTTCCATCTCCACCCCCTCTCAAGTTATCACCTCTTGAAATTCGTAAAATTTGAATTTTTGACACCCTATATTTCCGAAACCGCAAGCTTTTCCAAATTTTTATAAACTCAAAAAGCTAACGGTAAATTCCATGACACTAAAAAATATAATTATTTTTCTTAACTCACACAATTAACCCTTAAAATCGAGCATTATGTTAACCCCTTTTTATGTTAATTTTTGCTTTATTTCAAAGACTGCATATATGCGTCATCCTAAATATATGCAATCCTAGAAATAGTTTTGTATATGAATGAAAATAATTTTTATAGTGTGATAGGTATACATAGACTGTATTTAAAAGCAGAATTTTCACTTGTTGAAGGGAAAAGTGCTACAATACAATCCATTGGTTTGACCCAACTTTATTCATTAATTTAAATTTTTATATTAATTTTAAAAGAAACTACACAGATTAGTAATCAAGTAATTAACAGTAAAAAGTACTAGTATATTAATCATTAAACAATAAAGTATTTAGTTTTAATGCTGCAAGAGTACTTTGAAGTGCTTGCCACATTGTTGTTATTTTTTCAATTTTATTTTAGATTATCTTTTATTAAATATTGTTAAGTATTTTAAGTAAATGTGCTTATTAGTAACTGAAGAGAAAGAAATTACATTAATATATTTTCTATTTATGTTATGGGAGCAACTATACATTCATATTATTAAACACAATATTTAAATTGTTATAAGTTATTTGAACAGATTATTAAATATTTTTTTAAATTAATTTTTTATTAAACAAATTGTAAAAAATTATACAATAGTTATTTGTTTTCATACTTAAAAAAATTAATTCATTTATTAGATAAACCATCTTAGCAATTTGTTCCCAGAGTTAATTTAAATACTACTACCGGATCTGTATGGATACCGCAGAGTTGACAAACTCAATTTTACTTTGTGTCCTATAACAAAACTTCCATTTCTATTTTATTCTATTTAATTTTACCATTTTAAATTTCAAATCGGAGAGTTAAAATTATGGACACTAAAAGTTTTACTCAAATATATAATATACACAACCCTCAGTGAGTAGAGTATCGTATTTTAGATATTTTTTAAATTTTCTAGAATTTTATGAATTGGAATTCAATTATTGTAGTTTTTATGTGCTATGTATTTAAAATATCTTTAAAAATCGTAATTTTGATTGTTGTCTGTGATTTATTTACTACACTCCTGTAACTGTAACACTCCTTCAGTAAACTGTTATCAAAAACTCTTCTTTATTGATGTATGCTATATAGATAGATAGGTACTACTGCAATAAGTTTAATGAACCTTGAAACTTAAGTACCTATGCTTTAAATTAAAAAAATTTTTTTAGGGGTGATCGGCGAATCGATAAGTTTAGTAATTGTATACATGTACATATTTAGAATTAAAATGGTACATTAAAAATAGTTATTTGTTTATTTATTTGTATGTTTATAAGTACTTGATAAAATTAGATAAGATTGTTAAATTAGACAACACAAGACTTAGTTTTGAAGAGAAGATTTGAAATTGTACATCTATAAAAATTTGATTCAATAAATTTATATTAAATTTATATTTACGTTTTTACGCTTGTATTTTAATTAGCGATCAAATGGTTCTCAATAAAAACAAATTACATTATCTTGGAAACAATTACAGTTTGGATTAATCTGACAATTTTAAACAAAATTATTTATATTATTTTATTGGAAATAAAATATTTTGATTCACACATAAAATAATCTTAAAAAGTAAAGAATTTATAAGCATCGATAACCAGGATTATGTTGAAAATTTATTTGTAAGTAGATAGGTATGTACATTCTTTCAATTATGTAAGTATATTAAAAAAAAAAGAAGTATGTACATATTTACAAGTTAGTAATTTTTTAACCTAACCAAAACGAACGCGTTATGCAGTTTTATTTAAATGTACAGCAAAGCGCGCAACGACCGCAACGAAATCATATGTTAGAACCAAAATATGGGAAATATTCACGAGTTTGTGCAAATTGATAATGCACTGTTGCACCGAACCAATCTAAAATTTTTGAGTTATTATGACTAAAAAAATTTTTAGTAAGCTTGTAGGTACCTAGTAAGTTTAACTACAATATCTATAAGATTTATGTTTTACATTTAATCATATACCAAAGTGGATATATATAATACATATTTATTTTTTAGAGGATACTGATGGTTAAGTCAATTTAATTAAGATTTTTTTTTGAAAACAACCGGTATTTAAAATTCAAGTTAGGATTTACGGGCTATAGCAAGTACTGGTGCAAAAAAGAATTTTCACTAAAAGAATGACTGTTTCACTAACTCGATCCATCCATATTAATTTCATCGTTTTTATGGCGATTTATAATTGAACAAAACCTCAGTATTTGTATCGCGAAAAATATTAAAGTGCCGCAAAGTATAAATACATTTTTTTGCGTAAATGTAGATATTTTAATTGCCGCATACCGCTCACTTAGCAATAATTTAAAGTTTGTAATTATCACAGTTGGCTTTTTTATTTATTTTTAAAAATTTTAGCACCTAAATTGTTATCAGTCGGAAACTAAATTTATAATGTTATCAAAACATAACAATAACATTATAAAATTAAATAATAAATGTATATGCATATGTACATATGTACTTTATATGTGACATACAAATATATTTTTATGACAATGTATTTGAATACCTACATACATACATATATTAACAAAAAAAAAAATCTTATGGTGTTACCAACAAAGTGTACACGTTTGCTTTTCATATTAATAAAATTATAAAATGTATGAAAAATATGAAAACAATTCTTGTACACTCTTTATTATTTATATTATGTTCTGCTTTATATATTATTATTATATATCAAACATTATTTATTTTTATTTTTTATTTAACAGACAGTGAGTAGGTATATCTAATACCTTTCTATTACCAAATTATATGTGTTATATATGTAGGTTTGTGTGAATGTAAAAGACAAATTTAAATATGATTATTTTATAAGTATATTTTATACATAAATCTTTGTTTTTTTTTTTTTGTTTAAATATATATTTTATGTTTTGGCGGTTGTCATTTTGCCAGCAATAAAAAAATTTTTAAATATTCTTTCTTATTTCTGAAAACGTTCAATAATTAAAGTAAAACATTTAAACGTTTAACAACATTAATTGTGTCTGGAATTTATTGCATTTTCTTAATATTTTGTTTTTATATTCTATGCACAGTATGTATGTACCTATGTATGTATAACAAAACAACTATTAATTAATTAAAAATAAAAAACTGGTATAATAATCAAAATAGGAATATTTCAATGTTATGTTGACATGTACAAATTATTCTTGGTATAAAAGTAAAATCGTATTACTAACAAACAACAATATCACCTTAGCAATAATTATTGTACTAGTAATTTATTGTTATACATTTTTTACTAATGTAGCTATTACAAATCATTTTTAATAAAGTGAAACTGGTAGCCAATACACACAATAAGCCGGTTCTTTTTTTTTCTTAATTATTTGTTTTCTTTCGTTTCCATTTTTTGTTTTTGTATTTTTTCATTTATCTACCTATAAACTAGAGTATAGGTAGGAACATACCTACCTAATATTAAAATAGCAAAAGAAACTATAAATATCGCAGTGAAACAAATGAAAAAAAAATATGAAAAACAAAAAAATCGAATATGCATTAAACGAAATACATTGACATTTTGGTATGAATGCATTTACTCGATGTAATATAGATATTTGTGTGTAAAAATATGCATGCATAAGTACCTTTACCTATAGATACTCATAATACATATATATATATAAGGAAATAATTGATAGTTTTTATAAAGAATTTTTGTGTTCGTTTATTATTGAGTGAATTGCAAGCATGAATGTTCGCATCCAATACATCAAAATTTTTGATATTAACACAGCCATATGTCAAGAAATTAATATAGTATTTTTATACATATACATATATTCCATAGGTAGGTAAAAAAAAAAATTTTAAAAACTTTTTATTGATTTAAAAATGCAATGTGATTGTAGTTTTAATTTTTAAGACTTTTTTTGAGCATGCAATACAAATAAATATTGTGGAGTACTTTTTGTATTCATTATTGTATTATATACTATAATGAATACATATATTATGGGTAGGTACCCCATATATACATATTTACATATTTATGGTAACAATGCAGAATAGGTATTATTTTTTTTTTTAAATATTTTAATTAATAATCCCGTTAAAATATAATCAATGAGTGGTTTAATTATCTATGAAATTTTATTTATTTATTTACTAAGAATTCACTTGATACACAATTAAAATATATTTTATATTCATAAATATGTGTGTATGTATGTGAATTGTTTTGTTTATGGAAAATTTTTGACAAATCGTGATTTTTAATCCTACTCAGGTAGGTACCTATGTAAATACCTACTTCAAGATCTACTCATTAAACCTGTATTTTAATTTACATATTAATTATAATGTACGATATATGTATGTATCTATTATACATATTATGGTACATACGTATACACTTTATGCAAACATTGTTGTAATTTGAGTTTAGATGCGTGGGTAAATAAATATCTTGAATCCTAGACACAAACATTCTTGTACCAAGCTTACATTTTTGTCTAATCTAAAATAGGATGCGATTATAAAATTACTTATATGTTACTTTGAATTAAAATTCAACTCGGATTTTTTTTTTTTAAAAATTAGTAAATTTGCCCTTTTTATGTAATTTTGAATCAAAATTCCCATTGCTTTGGCGCGATTAATAACTACCTTAACCTTCTCAATATTATTAAAATACTTTTTCAACATCAAGGATATTTTTAATTTGGCCGCTTTAATAAATTTTCTTAACAAAATTATGCACAAAGGCAATATTTAATTATTATTTTTTTCTTTTAATGTGTACCTACAAAAATATCACACGAATTTTACTTTATAAAAAAAAAATATACTAAAAATTTTTTAACGAAATTAAAATGGTGGTCCCACCAATTAAGAAATGCGAAATAGACGCTTCAAAAATTATCTTGAGTTTTCTACTGTATTTATAATTGCAGTTGCAATAAAATATAAAAATCAGTTTATTTAGCACTTTTTTATTAATTTTCTCACTTAGAAAATCTTTTGATATTAATTATTTTACATAATTTATTTCGTTTTTATTAGTATTTTAAACAAAAACCCGGGACGAATTCTTAAAAAAAAAATTTTATTTTATTTTCTTAATGTAGCATACAAATATACATAAATACAATCAAAGGACATGGAGCTTTCTTTTTTGTAAATTTATTTTCACTAACCTGTACTTAAATTCCTATTATTTGAGGAAAATTAAATTATTTAATATTCGCTTTATATTTCAATATAAATTCGAAAATCTTAATTTTAAAGTTTCTTTTATTTAATTAAAAAAAAAAATAATGAGCAAAAACCGCAATAGTAAAATTTCTACGAAATGTTTTCAAATCTAAATTTCCCATGAAACTGAAAAATTTTTTTCCTCTATCAAAGCGGGGAAATATACGCCAGTAAAAAAATGCTGCCATTTCATTTTAAGAATTTTTTTATCGAAATCGAAATACCATTTCGTAAAATATGAGTGGGAAATTTCATATCCAATTTAAATATCCCAAGTATTTTGTAAACTAACATAACTAGGGGAATCAAGTTCTGGGGTTTTTTTTATCAACTCAAATATTTTTTTTTTTAAAAAAATATCAACTTAAACTCACATACATGCATGTACATATATTTTATGTTTCTAGGTAGAGCACAATATTTTTATATAATATAAATGAAACGTCATTATTAACTTAAGAATATATACGTGTTAAATACACAAAAATTCAAATTTTTTGATCATTATTAAAAAAAGAAGGAAAAAAAAAGAAAAAAAAAGCAAAAAGTAAATAAACGATAAGAGGAAATTTTGGTGAAAACAAGCAAAGCAATAAATGCAAATGGCATCAGTTTTAAAATGTATGTGTGAATGTGCATATACTTTCTCTTCAGAAAATATGCCATTATTGCCATTGATAAACTTGACGAAGAAATAATTTTTAATAAAAAAGGATCATTATAAAAATATAATCATCTATTTCTGTCTACAAAATATTGTGTTCTTTATCTTTATCTCTCATTTACAAATATGAAAGATAATTGTGAATTACAAATAATACGTTTGATTGGTATGTAATTTTCTGTCAAGACTTCGGTAAAACGTTTTTACAACGCAAGACATTTGTTTTATAAAAAAAAATTAATATAACGTTAAATTTTCCAATTCTCTTCTTCTGACTTATGTTTTCATTATATAATAATTATGACTGTTTTGGTATTAATAAAATTTTGTTGTAACAGATTCTCTAAATATTTTGTGTTTTTTTTTTCGTTTTGACCTTCGTTTGATTTTTACCTTGTTTACGTCATATAAGTCTCTTCATTAAATATAACTAAGAAGGAAGGAATAATCTTACTTCTTTTATACATTTTTTTATAATATAAATATAAATACCCATAATACAATCGCTTTTTAATAAACTAAGTTTAGTTTGATATAAAGTTAGGTCGTCCAAGAATAGAAAAGTCAAATGTCGAGTTTAAGTAAAACTATAATACTTATTATAACTAAACTAAGTTGATCAACATGGTTCTAAACTAAGTTGAACTAGGTTTGATATCAAAGCCTTTGTAATTAATTTCTTTTTGAATGTAAGGTTTTTATAACAATTATTGCAATTTGTAACTTTTTTATAAATATTTTTGCAAAAAAAAACATAATCGTTAAAGATATACGAGAGTGTTTTCGAATACAGCTATATAAAATACTTTGACAGAGGTATCCATTTATTTCATTTTTGTCGCCGTTTTACGAAACTTCTTCATCCTCAACTTTAGGCTATTGTTTACAGGTAAGTTTGCAATTATAATTAAGTCGTTCACCAGCAAAAATGTTTTTTTAAATAAAAAAACAAATAAGGTGTTTACACTTAGGTATATAAGAAACAATTTCAAATTATAAACATATTATAAATGCAGAATTTCTAACTACGATCGCAAAATCCAATTCGCATGATTTTTCAAACAAATCTTGTTAAAAATATGAATAAAATTTGCAATTTCAAGCATACCTTGTTGAAACTTAAAAATATAACTTTTATATAAATGGCTTTTTCCTGTTGAATAAAATTATAAACAATGATTTTACTATTGAGATTGATAACGTAAAATGTAAATGAAAGATCCTAGTATATTGCGTTTTTAAATGTCGAATTACCAAAAGGTTTTTTACGTTAGTTAGTTAAGTGTTAACGTCAACAAAGTTAGCGACGTATGCAACAAAACAAAACAATCCGGTTAAGATTTGGAAACTAACAACCTCAGTTGGAATTATTAGATTCTAGAAGAAAACCCGATAAAACCCACCCGAGAAAAATTTTAACCATGTGAGTCATATGTCATTAATACTGCTACATATAATCTTTAATAAAGAGATAAAATTTACAGTATGGCAGGTATATCCAGAATGTTGTACATAATTGGTTTTGCAGGAGGTAAGTTGTAAGTTCGCATATGTGGGAATTTTCTTATTAAGTTGAAGTAATCATAAATTATTTGCTTTCTCATATTGAAAATTAATATCTATTATAATTAAAATTTCATTTTTTTTTTCAGCTTAACCAAATCTTTACATAGTACTTACAGAAAATTGAGTGTATAGTAATTGAAAAGTGCATCGTGTTCGACGCACCTACACAAAACAAAATTTCCGGCCTTTAAAGTTTTTTTTAGATTCATTAAAGTAAAAAATGGAGAAAGTATTTGAACAAACATTGATTAGTGCTGCTCAGCAAGTTGAAAAACAAATAGATAGTCAACTGGAGCAACTGGACAATTTAGATTCTGATGACTTACAAAAAATTAGAGAAGAAAGATTGAAACAGATGAAGGAATTGAATAAAAAGAAACAAGAGTGGTTGAACAATGTACATAAATCTTGTCATTCAAGGATTGTATTTTTTTTTAACAAAATTATATTTTAAGGGTCATGGTGTTTATTCAGAACTAGCTGACGAAAAAGAGTTTTTTGAGGTATCAAAAAAATCCCCAAATATAGGTGAGATCAATTAGTTTATTTTATTTAAAGTAAAAAAGTTTTATATTTCAACCAAACTTGTAGTTTGTCATTTTTATAAAGATTCTACTGAAAGATGTAAAATTGTCGATAAACATTTAAAAATACTAGCAGCAAAACATGTTGAAGCAAAATTTTGTAAGGTTAACGCTGAAAAGTCACCATTTTTAACTCAGAGACTAAGAATAAAAATAATACCAACTATCGCATTAGTCAAAGGTAAAATTATATTATAAAATAATTAATATGTTAAACATGTATCCATACTTTTATTTTCAGACAGCAAAACTAAAGATTATATTGTGGGTTTTACGGATTTAGGGAATTGTGATGATTTTCCAACAGAAATGATGGAGTGGCGAATAGCTCAATCTGGTGCAATAGACTACAATGTAAAAATTTATAACTGAAGTTTATAAACAAAATATATAAAATTCCTTTCTTACAATTCATATTATTTCAGGGCGATCTACTCTGTCCTCCAGATCAAAATAGAAAACCTAAAAATTATTTTAATCGTCCTAAAAAAGCTATTAGAGGAGGCTATGATTCAGATGATTCTGATTTTGACTTTGACGATTAACTTAAAATGATTATATGCTGATGAATATTACATTCAAATTATAAGCACAATAAACAGGACATTGAAATTTAGTAGATTATTTAAAGAAAATAATAAACACAAATTGTTAGATGCATAAATAATATACTAAACAAAATTTAAAGTTCTAGAAAATTTATCAAAATTAAGTCTTAGATTAAAAAACCAAAATTCGCAATAAGCGTGTAACAAAATCAAAAATATTTTTGCAAAGTAGATAATATACATACAGTAATATTTTTTTGATAGAATAAAAGCGTATTATATATTTATGTGAAAGAAAAATATTAAAGACAATTATTGATTTTTATATTTTTAATTCAAATTTTTGTAATTTTATACAATTGCGAAACTATACTTTATTTATAAAAAATATTCTTTTGATATAATTTTTGCTTGAAGCAAATAAAAAATCTATTAAAACCTTTAATCTCTCATTTGTTAGATATTAATAAAAAAAAACCATTAACTTTTGAATAAAAAAAAATTTATTAAAATGGCTATGTTTTGTTGCTATTTAGTAAAATTACTATGCAATACAAAAGACAAATTAATTGCATTTAAAATATATATATATAATTATATTTAATAAATTATGTTTGTGTTTCAGGAATAAGTTAAAACTTTTTTTGTGCCAACTTATTTTACTATCGATATAAAGAAAAAATTTGAGATTTTTGGCAAGAAAAATTACATTTATTATTAAAACTTTTGTAAGTACATCATCTATGTGTTATATTAGAATACACTATGTAGTATATGTAACAGCCATCTCATTATTCACAGATAAATAAAAGCTGGCCTTTGTAATAAATATGAAATAATTTTTGTAGTTTTAAGTAATGAGTTTGTTTAGGTTTAAAATGTACAAGTATGTTATTTTTTGCTCTCACGAAACATGGCCTTATTTAAATGCACTTACATATGTTGAAAAATTTTTATAGAATGGAAAGCATTAATACAGTTTTGTACTTTTTTTTTTACAAAATATAATTATTTTACATAACTTTTAAGAAAGTTTTGTTTTTCTATAAGTCATTTTAAAATCTATTAGTTGTTAATTTTTTATACTAAAAATTAAAATACTAAGGATAAGAAAATATGTAAAAACCTAATGCACGATCTTTTTATTTAATAACAAAATGAAAAAAAAAAGTTTATCTGGGCTCATTTATTTTCTTTTCCAGAATATTCTCCGGCTAAAATTACGGGCGTGTATCTCGCGTTTTTGCTCGCCATCTCAGAAAAAGCTGATTGACTATCATATTAGAAAAAAGAATTCTGTTATTAAAGTGAATAAAAAAGTAAGATGAAAATTCGAGATACACGAATGTGCTGTAAAAATAATGATAGCAATTAAAAACAATTTCTGATAAGAATTCTGTTCTTAAGAAAAAACTATAGCAATAAAAATAAAAGTTTCAAAAAAATTTAAATTTAAACAAAATAATTCTTTTTTAAAATTGGGGCAAATAAAACAATATGCTCTTCCTTTGAAAGCATATTTAGAGCAAAAAAACTTATGCGTCATTAATAAAGCTAAACTTTTGTGATGTAAGAGTGGGTAATCGTTAATGAATAAATTACTTGTAATTTTAAACGCTTGTGTAATATATTTTCATAATATCTAAACTTAAAATATCAATTTATAAAAATGAGTTAGTTGTTTTAATATTTTTGTTCTTTGGAATATTATAAAAATTTCATTAAAATTAGTTACATATAAAAAAAGACGTGTACATAAACATACATATATGTACTTATATTTGAGAGATTTAAGAATAGTTTAGTTTAAAAAAATAGAAGTTAAAAATTAAAATTCGTCATGCTTGGTTAAGGCCTCCCCAAAATCAGTTGCTTGAGATCCAACAAACAAGTCATATTTATCAAGTATTTCATCTTTTGTTAAACGATTATCCTCATTTGTATCAGCTTCGAAAACCAAATGTTTTGCTTCAGCTTCTGCATGATCAAAATCTTTTGGTGTAATCCATTCATGAATTTCTTCTTTATTTAAAAAACCATCGCCATCATGATCTCTAAACTTTTTAAATACATCGCGTTCACTAACTACCCAGTCAGGTTCTTCTTCATTTTCACTGTGTTTATACATATCACCAATATATTCATCAACGGAAATTTTTCCGTCTTTATCTCTATCTATATCTTCAAGTGTTTCTAACACAACAACATTTCTCATTCTAGGAACATCTTCAGGATGCAAAAAAACAGTAAACTCTTCAAATGTTAATGTTTCACCATCGCCCGTACTAGCCGCAGCCCATCTTCTTCGGTCACGGTTCAACATAGTTTTATAAGAAAATCCATCATCTTCTCTCTCAATATCCCTAGGGTCCATATCATCCATAAAACCATAAGTATTTTTTTTATATTCTTCCCACGATATTGTTCCATTTTTATCTCTATCAAAGGTATGTTGTTTCCATTGACGTGTGGCGTCATCATCTATATAACGTCTTTGTGTGTACTGGATCCATTTTTTTAATTCTTCAGTTTCCACAAAACCATCATTATTAGTATCAATTTTGTCAACAATTACTCCCAAGCGTCTTTTACTTTCTTCAGGCGGAAGGCTATCAAATACTTTAGATTCATCTTCGCCTAAGAATTTATCATGATCATATTGTAAATCATGATGCTCAGCATTTAAATGCTGTTTATGTAAATCAGGAACGATTTCCGGTTTTGAAGCTACATATTTTATTATAAATAATATAAGTAATAAACTTAAATGGTATTTCAAAAACATTTCTCTAAAAATTTTATGCAAAATCTTTTACGAACTAAAAATATTGAAACGAAAATATCCGCCTCAAGTTATTGGCACTTAATTTTTCCGGAATAAACACTTCATTTAAATTTCCGAATACCGAATAATAAGAATGAAAGATTATAAGTGACGTTGCTCAGCAAATTTTTGAGATAAAAACAAGACTGATACAGATTACAGATTACAGAAAATTGCAGAAGAATGTTACCTTTGCGACATCTATTCGAAGTAGAAGAAAATAAATGCCTAAAATTGAAAGTATATAGCTGAATTAATTGACGTATACATATTAGACATCAAAACACATGTATTTTACCATCAATGTGAATTTGTTATTTTTACAAAAAAACTATATATTTATGTTTTTGACTATGGTTGTTTCATATACTTTTGATGTTGTTACAAAAAAGTTACCCTACTTTGTATTAAAGTTATACATTTAAAAACTAAACAAAGTATGTATATTAAAAACGAGAAAAATACCCAAGTTCACGATAAAGTCGCATTCATTAAAAATGGCAGCTGCCTTCGATTATCTAGTAGACTTTGTTAATATTCTTACTTAGTTTATAAAATAAATTTAAACACTAAACAAACTCTTTAATTATAACTTTTTTCTTTGTAATTTATTTCAAAATTTGAAATAGAAATCGAACGAACCCGTCTGCCCGTCTATTAACGTATTCAACTTAGTTCCTACAAACTTTGCAAACATAGAGAGTTTTCAACATGTTGAACCGTTAGAGGGTGGGTTGGCCACAATTTGAAGGTTGAAACTTCTTTGAAAAAACTGTTTACATATACGACATAATCTTTTTGACGAGAGCCTAACCTTAATGACAACATACATTTTCTGTCAAAAAAATTTAAATTTGAAAAATTAAATAATTCTGTTAAGCTAAAGAAACATGATATTTATTGTACATCCAAAATTTTAAAAAACTGTCTAGACGCTCGTGGACGGGCACAATAGATATTGTAAATTACAATTGTCGCTCTAATCTGCATTCCATAATTTAGATTTCGTCGCACAGCATCGGCGAAAATTATAAATAGTTTGATTTTTATGCGCGTAGCTTTGTGTGCTGCATGAAATTTCATACAAAACAGACATAGTTTACAAAAAGTTTAAAAAATGTTTAAGTATGAATGATTGTGTTGATCAACTTATTTTCAGGGTGTTGGGCAATCAAGCACAATAATGGCAGGCAAGTATAAAAGTCCTGCTATATGTTATGAAATTCGAAATATTTTTATACATTTAATCTGAATTTAGAATCAGAAAATAATTAAGAAAATTCATAATGATTAAAACTTTCGATTTACACTCGTACTGAATTTTGACGAAGCAGCAAATGTCAAAACATAAATAATTGACAGTAATGCGAAAAAAAATTGTTAATCAAGTTTCAGTTATTTTTCTAGGCTCGTCAGAAAATATTTAAATGTCGGTAAATAGGAAAACCTAAGAAAATGATTTTTTTTTCTTTTTGTATTGTTTTTAAGTTTTTTTCACAGTGAATCAATTGACACAGAAAAGAAAAATCGATAAGTTAATTTGATGGATTCGTAAATTTCTTTCTACAATTAATGGAACTGTTTTGTATTGTCGATGTTTAGTGTAAATTGTAAAATATTTTCGAAGTAAATTTTTATTACATCTGAGTGCTATTTGTTTTTGATTGAAAGAAATGCCATTACAAGTGCAAGAAATTAAAAATACAAAATATAAAAATCGAATTTGAACAAAAGTTATAAAATAATTTGATAAACACATGGGCTTCAATATTTATATGCATGCGTATGTGTATAAAATAGTACGATTGTAGCAAAATTACTGCATAAAAGAAATAAAAAAAAAACAAAAACTTCGAGCTAATTATTTCATATACTTAAGGAAGAGGATATTAATTTTATCAAAATGAATATACCACCATCAGCTGTAAGCACTCCAGCTAAACTGAGTGAATCTCCTGGTTCGGTAAGCGGTTTCCTTAGGGAAACTCAAATTGGTGGGTCTGGTATTGGAGGTGGTGGTGGAGGAGGCATTGGAAATAATCCAGGATTAACGATTAACACGCAAGGTCTTGGTGGATCGTCTTCAGTTAGTACACCAAATATGGGTGCATCTGCAACCGCTCAAGGTACAACTCCTCCTAATAGTGCTGGTTATCGTATGCCAAGTGGTATGAATCATTTACTAACAATATTGCCAGTGAATGTTGTCATTTCTGTTTTGCTTTTTATTTATTTCTTTTTAAATTATGTTGTTTTCCTTTTTTTTTTGAACTATTTAAGTAGTTTTTTAGTTTTCTTTAAAACAAAAACGATTTTTTTTTTGCTTTTATTTGAAACACGCTTTATTAAGGTTTTAATTTTACTATATAATTAGCTTTAAGCTTATTTTTTCCTTTATTTTCACATAATTCTGAAGCTATGCTGATGTAATGATATGAAGTAAAATGGGCTGTTGTAGTAAATATTTTATATTAATTTAGTAAAATCCAAATTGAATTCAACCATTTTCAAAAATTAATTGATTTGTTAAAAAGCTTTATAACTAAGTTAAAGGTTTTCCTTTTGGAGAAACTTTTTAGATATTGGAACGTAGGAAAGTACCTACCCATTTTAGTGGTTTTGATATAACTATTTACTGAGATCTATTGACTAATCTCGTTTTGTACACATATGTGTACATGTGAAAGATTTTAGCTCTGTAATAACCACTTTTAAAGAGTGATTTATCTATTAATATAATTATTTTAACAAATATTTATTATAAATAATAATATTTTCGTAACTTGGGGGTTTTACGTATATGGGTAGGTGCTATCTACTTTTTTGTACAGTCAAAACAAAAGAAGTCGTCAATAATAAAATTAGTTTTAAATCATAAAGCTTAAATATTAAAAAATTCTTTTAAAACATGTACAGAAATAATTTTAGTTTGCGCGTTACCATCTGCCTTATATCTTCCTTAAGGAATTATGATAATTATATTATAAATAAGTGTGTACCTGTCTATAAGTAATTAATATAAGTTATATGTAAGTAACAAATATTAGATTTAGGTTTTTATGTTAATACATATGTACATATATTGTACTCGTATAAGTATAAATACAAATGAATTAATCCAAAAATAGTGTAGGTAGGTACTAAAATTTAATTCTAGTAAAAGTAAAATGATCTTTAAATGATTTTAGTAAAAGAAATTATGTTACAGAACATGAAAAAATTGAGTACCTATATCTGTTTACTACTTATCTAGTTAAGTAATTCAACTAAAATATTTTGTTGTAAGCAATGTTTTGAAACTGTGTTTCTTGGTAGCCACCTACTTTACGTAAAAAGATTTTCTAAAATTTAAGTAAACTGAAAATACTTATTGTTTTCAGAAAATTTGTATTTCGTTTGGTTAATATTGTTCAAAATTCTATCGCTTAATTTATTTTAATTATATTTTACTTGTCTAATAAGAAGTCTGGAAATACTCAATTAGTATCGTTTTAAATTTTTTTTTTATAAATTGCAGCTTGGGTTCTATAACTTCTAAATGGAAATATAATATGTTCACAGATACACATCAATGTATTAGATATCTACTTAAGTATATATATTCCCTTTGATTGTCCGATTGCGTAATGAGACGTGTATTAAAAGTAAAATGCGATGATGAAAAAAAAATTGATATAAAGGGAGAATATTTGAAAAATAAAGTAAAAGTTAAATATATTAAGTAAGTCTTCTATTTGTACATGAGATTTCATTTTGAATTCCTTTTTCAATCTTTTACTTAAATAGAATTGAAAAAAAATTAAATAAAAAAGTTATCGGTGAGTAACAAAAAAAATGAACTCCATCACAAAATGTATAAAATGAAAACATTAGTTGGACATTTCCTTTTCCAGGAAAATTCTTTCCTTCCAGTATATACATAAATATTTACTTTGGTTCTACATTAAATCTTTGTAATAAAAGAGATAAAAATAATTTTTCTTTACATAGAAATAAGAACGGTACTGCAAAGGAAATCATAAATTTTGTGTTTTTCAATTCTTTATGCTATAGGTATAGTCATTATTTAAAATATGCTATTTGTATTATACTTAATTGTATGTCATAAAATACTTTATTCTGCAACATTAATTATTCTATTGAATTATTTCAATATAGAAATAGTTTTTAGCAATAGAAAATTAGTGATTTATAGTTTTAAGTCTTCAATTAAATTTTTTGTGGTGAAAATTCCGCATAATACTAAATATTATATTACCTAATATAATATTTTAAGAGTTTGATATTTTAGACATGAAATTTTTGGTTTGGTATAGTTTTTTTCAATTTGAAACTCCACGAACTTTCCCCAAGTTCATACAACACTTTTTTTTTTTTTAAAGTTTGTTCATCCATTTAGATCTTCCACCTTCCTATAAATTTTGCAATTGGCACCTTATTAGTATTAATAAATATTCTTCTTTATTTAACACAGTCATTATCGTCATAAATTATTCTTTATTATTAATGTTTTAATATTTTTCTAAATATTTACATTAATATATTTTGAAATTTTAACTACAAGATACCTACTTGTTTATGATGTACTTAATTTGTTCCCATGATTTTTTTAAATAAATTATTCAATTTTGTTTTGAATTATCCAAATTCTTTAAATTTGAAATTCGTATTCCACTCTAATGATATATTTATTAAAAATGTTTGAGTCATATTAAAAATTTATTTATGAGTGAGAATCCGTTCATCCTAAACTTTGTTCCGTTGTAATAAAATAACAATTTCTCACCAATATTTTACAGTTCATCGAAACAGTTCTCTATATTAGTTCTAAAAAAATATGATTATATGAAAAATTATAAGTAAGTACTTATATGATTTATTTTGGTGTTTTTTTAAGTCGTCCCTTTTCGCTTTCTTACGACACTAGTGACAATGTACGACACTAGTTTTCACTAGTGTAGAAATCCTAATCGTGTTCAATAATTAACTTTTTAGAATACATTTATTGAGTAATCTTTCAATAAATTGTAAATTGTTCTAAAACTGTTCTGAGATTACAGAATAAAATTAAAGAATAAACTACGATCACTGATAGAACAATAGACTACTTAAAAATTTGCGTGTGATGATATCATGATTATACTTCATGGTGCCATTTTTATTAATTAAATTTTGTCACGTGCATCGATTTACAAACAAAAAAAATTTGTTTATTTTTTGTTATAAAATTTTCGTTTGGATTCATGCCAGGACGCCAGAGAAACCATTTTTTTCTGTGTATATTTTTCCAAACAAAAAAAAAGAAATAAATTTAAATTTTAAAGAAAAATAAATACAATAACATTTAATTTTGATTTCTAAGATAAATATTTGCAAATATTTTAATAAAAAAGTAAGCAAATATCATGATTTTTTACAATTTTAAAGATAATCGTAAATTCAAAAATATTTTTTATTAGTATAAGTATTGTTATATTATGCTAACTTTTTATTTACCCTATAATAATACAAAAGAATTTGGAAAATTTAATAGCGTTTTACTTTTTCCATTAAACATAGCTCACGATTATTTAGAATCAAATTTTCTTTAAGTTTCAATCGAATAAAATGTATGAACGATAGTGTAAAGGTTTTAATAGGGCTCAAGCTGTCATGAAATTTTTAGTTTTGCAATTACTACTTATATTTTAAAGCGTTCCACGCACATCTAACCAACTATTGCGTCAATTTAAATCGAATGCGTTAAATAAAAATTGCAATCAGTTTCTAAAAAATTACAAACTGATTTTACACTTGCATGTGTGCACGCTTGAATATAAACCTATGGAGTAAAAACAAGGAATTAAACAGTTGTATAACTAAAAATTTCATGTCTATCCGAGCCCTTAAAATTTTTATAGCTTACTTTTAGGTTTGATTACTAATTTTTTCAATTCTTTTCATTTCATTCCAAGAAATACTTACAATAATAATTTGAAATTATTTTAAAAATAATTTTAAAAGGTTCTCTAAAAACATCGTAGATTACTGAATATAAATGTATAAGTTGAATTATCAATTACTTTATTTAAATTTAATAAAATTATTTCATAAATTGGGTTCACAATATGTGAAGTGAAAATGCTTCTGCCAAAATTTATTGTTTTAAAGGTAAATTTTTCCTTAACTATTTCTAAAATCATACTTTTTTTGTATCATGTCCATACCAAATATTTCTTGTTCCCAAATATTTAAGTGTAATTGAACATCTTAAGTGATTATAATCATTATTTGATGAGTTGGACCAAATTCTATGATCAAACATCTTTGTTTCTGTTTGTATGATTACGAACGTGTGTTTTGATCGTGCTAAAAATATGCTCAAAAAATTTTTTGATCAGTTGTCATTGATAATAATTACTTGAATCACATATACATAATGCAATATACATAATGCAATAATAACGTAGATCTCACTTATATTTTGTTCTTAAGTGTATGTACACATATACATATATATGCTTACGCATTTGACATTTTAAAATTTCATTAAATGCAAATTTAATAATAGCAAAGGCGTTCGACTAAAAATTTTTCATTTTAAAAATTAAAATTTTTCGAAAGTAAACATGTTTTTTTTTTAACTTTTAAATTTGCATTTTATTCTATTAAATATTTTGTTTATGTATATGTACGAATTGCATATTTCTGTAAGTATAGGAACATATATATGTACTGATGAAACTGCAAATTTTAAACATAATTAAACTTACTAATTTAATAACATTGAAATACTAATGCAAATAATATTTTAAATTATGGTATATGTATATTATGAGCTAATCAATAAAGTAAATTAAAAATTACATCATTTGACATTCAAATTCAGCGACTGTTCAAAAGAAAGATTAGAACACTTCTATTTATAGACAGAACGAAGTAGTGAAATTTAGAAATAAAAAATTGTGTTTAAAATAAGCGTGCATTATCAGCAAAATAGAGCGAACTTTGATCTTTGAAAACCTTTTCCGAATATCGTAAAATTCGATTGAAGTACTCGTAATTAAAAATATTTAAGTATTTAATTACTAACACTAAAATTTAGTTTCATTAGAATAATTTTTTATAGTTATCAAATAAATTGTAAATTCATCTATGATTTTATTATGAAGTTTTGTATATGTTCTTG